AAAAAAATTATCCATGCAAATCCCTTTCAAATGCTTATTTGCATATTTGTTGCTTTTAAAAAAAAAACACTGTTCAGTGTGTTAGAGAGCCGTTGTAAAAGTGCAGCTCCCTGTAGTGTTAGTGGGGAAATAAAAAAAGGGCATTTTTGATGAGGCCATGCAAACACAAATCAGTTGCATTATTTAGGAGGAAGGGGGTGGGGGGATCACGCACTTTTAACCTAATTTTAATAAAACACGGCCAAATATTGTTATTAAAAATAAATAGAAAATTACAATATATTTAATTGAACAAAAATTTTCACTCAATTTCCCCTACCATTTATGATTTCAATTTATTTTTTGAATTCATTAGCATAGTTAGCATGTTAGCTTCCATGTTCAAGAGCGCGGTGCTGTACACTTCAGGAGGAGTTGGAAAACTTGGCTTCCACAATTTTTGCCCCCCCTTTTTTTCAGCTTTTTCTGGGTGACAACACTGCTTTGGAGCCTCGGTGTGTGTGTGTGAGAGAGAGAGAGAGAGTGTGAGGAAGAGTGTGTGAGGAGTGTGTGTGCAGATATCCAGCTGGTAAAATAAGTGAACTTACTGTGCGTGCTGTTGGAGAAAGTGATCCGTTGGGGAGGTAGGGGCTGGTGAGATCGGGGATCATTATAAACGGATAGCCCGGGTACGGTGGGCTCTTGAACAGCCCTCCATCTTGCCTTTTCGCAGCTAACATGGCGGGGGGTGGAGGGGAGAAGAGGAAAACTTTTAATAAACTGGCCTTGGAATGTGTTTTTTTTTAATCGTTGGAAATTGTATTTGAGGAAGAAGGCTGCAGGAGACTCCTTCCTCTGTTAAAAATACACAATGTCATGGTTGAGGAAAAAAAACAAAGATAGGAGATTAAAGGAAGAAACTCACCCTCTTCTAAACTTTCCCTTGTTTTGTCTCTGAAAGTTTCAGATCTAGGCGGAGGCCGTCTTTCCGCCTTGAAATGCAACGAAACACAAGGACTGCGTTAAAGTTATAGGGGGCTTTCATGGTGAACTCTATCAAAGTGTGCTAAGAAATGTAGGCCACCCCCTCAAACATGTAATGCGAACTTAACGGAGCCGATCGATCCGAACTTACCTCCGAGTCCGAAGAGCTGTTCTGATTCGTTTCCGACTCGTTTACGAGCGAAGATTTGACGTCTGCTAAATCCCTTTCTGCCGAGGAGTTCTCCGAGATTTTCTCCTCCTGCTCCCCTTCGTCTTTGAACGAAATCATCTCATCGTTTGCGCCCAGATCGTCCCCTCCACCGCCGTTGAGCTGCGGCATTTTTCCCCCGAGCAGAAGAATCGTTCTCGGGTCGAAAAAAACCACCAAAAAGTTTCAAACCCTTGATCTCTGCGAGCTCGAAAGTCCGAGAGTTTAAGTTTTTGGGGGGTTTTCTTTTTAAAAGAGAGGGTCTTCGTATTGGCGTTTTCCAAAAGCTCTGGTATATAAAACTCAAAAACACAAGGGGGGGAAAAAGAAGGGGGAAAAATGTTGGCAGAAAAATGGGGAAGCCGGAGAAGGAGCCGAGCCGCTCGGATTGAGTGAGTTGAAGTTGGTCGGAGTGGTTTTCAGTTCAAAGGCGGCGCTGATTGACAGATAGAGAGGGATGGAAATAGAGAGAGTCTGGATTCGGGATTATTGACAGGGAGAAACACACAAGAAACTAATGAGATTCAAACAGGGAGGGACTTGAAGTGACGTTTTCATAAATAGGAGGAAAAAAAAGAGGGAGAGAGAGAGGGAGAGAGGAGAGGGAGTGCTGGTTGGAGGAAGCCGGCTGCAGCGAAAAAGCATGTGAGGAGTGAAAATGCCAGTTTGGGAGTAGGACAGTAATGGTAAAATAGCAGGAAGATATAGGAGTTGCTTGCAAATGTGGATTAAACGCACATATGGGCGGTCTCTCAGCGCGAAAAAAGGAAGCAATGAAAAGAAGTCACTTTTATGGAGCTCCAAAAGTGCCGTAATTATATAAGGAGAAAGAATAAATAAAAGATTTATTCCTGAAATGTCAGTTTTTGAAATGGACAAGATGGTTCACCACGCAGGGTGGCATGCCATGAGGGGCGGCACAAGCCTGCCTTCCTTCCCCAAAACTTAAAGCAACAACAGTCAACCCCATTGACAAAAACTCTTTGAAGGAATGTTATGAAAGAAACATTAACTCAAGTCATCAAGATACACAGGAAGAGTTTGTTAAAATAAGCAAGACATTTTTTTATTTGTAGCTCTGATTAAAAAAAGAGGCTGACTTCCTGTTGGGTTTAGGATAAGAATTCAAGAGATTTTTTTTTTTTTTTTTAGTTTGACCTGCCAAGATTTACGTGTAAATTTTCATAGTTCTACATAAAACCGATATGAAGGAAATGCCCCAATTTCTTGATCACAAGAAAGTTGTGATTCCCCTTTGTTTACACTGTAAGAAAATATTTTCTACTTACGACACTATAATTGGTATGTGATTTAAATCCAGAAGAAATTGGACAATAACAATATAGACATCCAAAGGTACCACAAATTTAAAAGAAATAAATCAATGACTACCTTAATATGCCATTAATCATTTAACAAAATAGATAATTTATTAAAAGTACATAATGCAGTACATATTTTGATTATAAAACATGTATTTTATTTTGAAAATAATGTGTGGTTATTGCATATTTATTGATTTGATGGTTATCAAATAAAATATGGAGCTCCAAAAGTGGAACAGTGCAATCAAAATAAATAATTCCTTGATTATTTATTTTGGAAAAAAAAAATGCAGATAACAAAGACATATATTTAACATGGTACATATATCCACTTTAATTACAGGTCATTATTCTTTTAAGTCATTCACAGTTGTGTGTAATAAAGCTTACAGGGGCAGTATGTTTTAGTTTTTTTGTTGTTGGGTTTTTTCTTAATAGATGTTCAATAAATGTTTAATATATATATATATATCCCCATACATATCATGAAAGTTGTTTTTGTTATTTTATCATCTTCTATTTGATGTTTTGTTATTTGTTATGTTAAGTAGTCACCTCAGGTCCTTTTTTATTACATTTCCATGCCAGATATAAGATCAAGCTTAAAATATATTCTTCTAATTGTCTCTTAATTTCTATTGTATTTCAGTGACCATGTTACACCACAACAAACCAGTATGACATAGCTACTGCAGCATTTCGTAGTAATTTTTTAGGTGAAGTAATTTCTAGAAATGATGCCATGTTTGTCAGGAACTTGCTATAAAACAGGATTACAAAGATTATATCAGGGAATAAAAACGGTTTTCATGTAAACAATGGTTGTTGATGTGTATTTAACTATCAATATGTCTTTTTTTTTTTTTCTTTTTTTTTTTTTTCATGGGGGGGGCACCAAAACTGACTCTAGCCCCAACCCCCAAATTCTCCTCAATCCGACCCTGGTTGCGTCTAACCTATCAGATGTAGCAGTTAGCTCCAAATATTACAACTGATCTTAAAATTAATTTAAATTATTGCTTAGTCCACTGCCTCAAGAACCGAAAAGGAAATAATTATATGTGGCTTTAATATACAACTCAAAATGTTTGATTAATAGCTTTTAGCTAGTAGTATTTTATTATTCATAATTTTATTTTAGTCATTACACATTTCATTTCATCTTAATAATCATTTGTTAATGCTTTTAGGGGTGATGGATGATATTGTGACACCTTCGGCACTCAATACCTTCTTCAGGTCTTTTGCAGTTTATTCCCATCTAGTCTGTCATTCACTCACCAAATCAACTAAATATTACATCTGAATTTTAATTATTTTTCTCCCCCAAATCCATCCTGTTTTCCCCCTCTTTCCTTTTTCTTACACCAACTAAATACTCAAGGCCTGTATCAGAAGCAGAATTACTCTGAGCTGTTTTTAGCATTATCATTTTATCTGCTTTGTCAGCTCCTTAGATCTATTTTTCATTATATTGGCTAATGTTTCCTTAGATCTATTTTTTGGGATGGAGGGTGTTATTGCATCCTACTTTCTTGACAGGTGTGATGTCCTCTGGGACGCACCTGAATTCCTCACTGGCAGCAGAAGACTGAGCTGTTTTTATTTATTTATTTATTTATTTATTTATTTATTTATTTTATTTTTCCTATTTTTTTCCTCTCTCAGCAGCAGCCAGACTGGACACAAATAACAGATTCTGAATTGGATGCTCCATTTCCACGTCTTATTTTAGTCTAGCTGAACCTTTAAAAAGATACAAAAGAGGGATTTTTAACTGAATGTTTACAACTAATAGAATGATGTTTTCTATTATTTATAAAAAAAATTAACATCTCATTAATTGAAGCCAGAGCAATTAATATTTTATGTATCAAATAATAAACAGGTACGACACAATTATATAAAAAGCTGAAAAATGATTAAATAGCCATTTTAAAAACACCTTATCTCCATCTGAAATATATGTTAAAATTAAAAGCAGAGTCCATGCCTGCTAACCCTGTTAGCTGGAGGTACATATCAGTGATGAGCTCAGCAGCTGTGACTCAGTTACTTTATCAGATCAGTGGGGAAAATGCAGCTTCTGGTATCTGCCAGAAATTTGATGCTGCAATCACACACACACCAACAACAACACAAAAAAAACATCAATTAATTCAGCTCTAGCTACAAGAAATTGAGCTAAAACATCCATGCAGGTGACACTTGCAGTCTTGCAAAATCAAGCAGAGCAAGATCAAAACAAGAACACAGAATTGTTGATGAAGAAATATTGTCTGATGCCTTCATGCTGTAAGACGTGGGGAAACTAAATATTATGACACTAATTCCTCTGTATCTGCTGTCAGCGGGGTTGTCAGGGAGCACCGATGGGGAATCATTGTGCACGCATGCAGCAGCAAAATGCTGGGAGTCTGCTCCCAGACGCGCCCAGGCCAGGCAGCTCCCAGAAAAGCAGACGACTGCGCTCAGTGATCGCTGATGTGCTTTATCTGGATGAGGTGAAAGCAGCGCTTGTGTTGGCTGGCTGCAGCCCAGACAGCGACGTATGGGGAGGGCGTGAGGGGAAAAGAGAGAGGGGTTGCAGGCACCGGTTCTCATCCAGTCTTGTCTGTGTTCAGGCAGCTGATGGAGGAAGAAGAGGCACCCTGCTGTTCAGGGGCCCTCGAAATCTGGACCCCGCGCATCCCAGACCAAAGCAGAGGGGGCTCCAAGCTGGCCTCCACCCGGATTGCCTCAGCAGGTACCGGAGAGTTTACTGGGGGGGCTGGCAGCATGTTATCACGCGTGCCGTGGAGACACCTGTCTCTGATGCCGCCCCAGTGATTCTAATCTACAGGACCCTTTAATAACAAGATGATAGGCTTTGCTGCTGCTGCTGCTGCTGCCCCCACAGCTCGGGATGAGGGAGCAGACGCACGCTCTGCGTCCGTTGGTGTTATTTATGTTTGCTGTGGCTTTTGTGTGTTCACCTCTGCCCCTGGTGGCGGCTGCTTGGTAAAAAAAAGACCCAAAGATCCGCCACTCTTATCTCAAGAGGCAATGATCCCATGACAGCCCTGATCATGAATTTACTGATTCCCAGTGAAGCCATCACTTCTTCTGTCAAAAGAAAAGAAAAAAAAAATCTAATTTTTAGGTTATAAAATGTAAAACATATGGAGCCTATCTAACTGTGTGACCTCGCTGGAAACTTTGAAGGGATTTTTGTTCTCTTTGTCCTTCTGAAGTGTCAAAGAGAATATATTTGAGCTGTTATTGGTTTTTTCCTCAATGCATGTGTATTTCTTTAGGTAAATAACTTTTCAACAATGTTGAGAGAAATAAAAACATTACAAAATGCTCCGTGACCTACATGTCAAATTTCAATCATTATGTAGATATAACTTTGTTCTTCCTGTTTTATGTATTGTTTTGTACATTATAAAAGTTTTTTTTTTAGCATTTTGTTTTTTCCTCATTCCTAAAATTTGATGACTTTCATTCCATCAGCACTCTCCACATTTAATCATCCCTGTTTTATTTAAATCAGCCTTGTTTTGCAGCTGTGACACAAATTTGTGTAACATTTTTGAAATAAATTCATCTTTTTTTCTTTTTTTTTGCAGTTATATAATCGCGCATTGAAAATCCAACCTCTAAGCGTTAAGTTAATCACATTTATTGGGCTGGGAAACAACCGCTAGTTTCCTGTTCTTAATTCTCAGCCAGTCATTGACAGATTTACTGACACGTTTTGAGCCATAGCCATGTTTCAGTGCTTTAGCTGAGTCTTGTTTATTTATGTTTGCAGATGTTCTCATATTTTTCTCAGCAGCCCTCAGTCTGTGCAGTCTGGCCGGTCAGGTGTTGCTGCAGAAAAAGGGCCCAAAAGCATGATACTTAGGTCTCCAAGCTTCACAGTTGGAATGGGTTTCTTTTCTTGAATGCTGCATTTGGTTTATGTCAAACAAGTCCTCTAGTCCTCTGTTCTGATGCATAAGTAATTTAATTTTAGACTTGTTTGTCCTGGTCTTTGTCTATGTTCTTCCAGGCCAACTTCAGATTGGAATTATTTTCTTCTTACAGATCAAATGTTTTCTCCTTGCACATTTCAAGTCAAGTCAAGTAAACTTTTTTTTTTCTAAAGCAGACCGATCATTTAAAGCAGTAATAATCAACATAAAGTAGTCTAAACAGCTGAATGAAGAGTGGAATAAAACAATAAATCTCAACAAAGTAAAATAATAATAATTTCCAATGGAAGTTAAACTTCTGTTGACTGTTTCTAACTGCACAGACATTTAAAAATATCAACTTAGTTGATCCTGGACTTCCTGTTTGTCTGCAGTATG